CCCCAAACGAATTCCAAATAATCATCTTTTTTTTTTTTTTTTTTTTTGCATGGATATAGTATAGGAAAGCATAGTGCTGATCACCGTTGTTTCCTAAGGGATTAACTCATGAACCACCCAGCCCTTTCCCGCACTGGGTTGACACTTCTCTGGAACCTCTCGAATGGAATCTGATGATTTCTCCTGCTCAATCATCTTAGACATCTCCGACTTCCTGGCAAGTTTCTTCTCTCACTTCTTCCTCGGCTTAGCCTTCGGGCAGCGACGTTGTTTCATTTCGAGGGCGGTCAACATCTTCTCTATATCCACGGGTTTGGGCGAATGATCTGATTTTTTTCTCCATTGGGATATCTTAAGAAGTCGAGCGAATGCAAACAGATACTGATACAGAATGCTGAGAACTATCCACTGCGTCATAATTATAAGTGTAATGGGCACGAAAACCCATGGAGTTTAGTCATTGCATTAAATTACAACGGTTAAGATTCATGTTTGTTTTAAAAATTCTCTTGATCTCATCACGGCTTTCTTTTCGGTACGGGTTTGGGCAAATAATTTGATTTTTTTTCTCCATCAGGATATCTTAAGAAGCTGAGCGAATATGAACAGATACAAACACAAAATGCTGAGAGCAATCCAATACACCTTATTCATAAGTGTCATGGGCACGAAAACCCATAGAATTTAGTCATTGCATTAAATTATCGCTGTCAGGATTCATGTTTGCTTTAAAAATTCTCTTGTTCTCATCACAACTTTCTTTTCATTGTCAAGAAATAAGAGAATTTAAGAGCTAAATATATACATAAAAATTTGTCAACATGAATCTCGAGATAATCTAACGGTCCAAGATCAAAAGAGATATGACAAGGATCTCTCTGACTAAAAACAATGAGTCCTCACACATTCGATCTACTGATGGCCAACCCAATTGATTGAAGGGTTGTCAGTAGACCAAAGGCATGCAAGCTCAGCCGACCAAACGACCACCCAAGCCAATAGGCTATAAACATCTATGCCAATCACTCCGAAGGAAATGACCGAATAACGGTCTATAACAACAAGTATCAACACAAAGATCTCTCAGAAGTTATCTTAAAGATCACCAAACAACAATAATCACGCAAGCAGGTTGGTCGCCCGAAACTGACAAGTTGACCAGATTCTCATTCTAAAGTCGGCTGACCCAAGCACCAGCTAGGAAAAGGTCTAGACATGCAAAAAGACCAGAATATTCCGTACAACCCCTTTAAAGTAGGGGTAAAACATGTAATTTTACATTTTGTTCATCTATCACTTATAAATCGGGGGACCATATCATGTACTATAGGCTTTTGGCCCTTCTCTCTTGAACATTCTTCTCTAGGGAGTCTCTCTTCCCTTCTCCTTGAAACCTCTATATTCGATGTATAAAATGGGTCACACCGGAAATACTCCATTTGACCCAATATGGTCAAACCTCTCTCTTCTCCCCCCCCTCTCTCTCTCTCTCTCTCTCTCTCTCTCTCTCTCTCTCTCTCTTCTTCTTCTTCTTCTTCCTCTTCTTCTTTTTCTCTTCTCTTGTTACTACCGCTATATTCTTTGTGCATGTCTCACATGACAAATCTGGATTCAACACATAGTTCTTAAATACTTATGATAATAATAATATATTACAGTTTTTTTTAATGCTTATTTTTGTTTACTTTTTATTTTTAAAAAAATTTGGGTTAGAGGTGATTGTAGCCCCTTCTAAATTTATTTTAAAAAAAAAAGGTTTATATTACTTAACATACACATACTTCCCAAATATCTCTTCGCTTTATATGATTGATGGAGCAAACATCACCCCAGGAGGCTGTTATGGCTTCATATCCTTCCAATTTAACCATGCAGACCAAAACAAAGCAAAAGAAATGTTACAAACCATAATCCCATGAGGCAGGGTGCATAGACGCTGCACTATCGTGCTTGGGCACTGGAACATGGCACCTGGTTGCTTGGAGCTCTATCTTTGGGTGCCTAGGCATTGGTTCCTCTAGCTTCTAGCGCCTAGGTGCTCAAGACTAACACTTGGGCATCGGTACTGCCAAGGGGGTGTATAAGACTAACAAGGAGCCACCTAGGACTGGCAAGGGAGTGCCCAGCGGGCACTTATGCACTCCATTTTGGCTTCTTTGCTCCCCAAGTTACATATATTTCAACTAAATATTTTATGAAGTAAAATTAGTCATGACATTATTTGGGTTCATAATACAAGCAATAACTCAAATATCCACATGATTTATCATTTGTTTAGAAACATGACGTATTATTTTGAAGATCATCAACTTTGTAACTTAGTATTTGTTTTTATAATCAAACTAGCACTGGAGGTGGATTTCTCACTTTGGTAGCTTGCTCAAAGGCATAGGCTATCTCAATCAATATGGCATCTGAACCTTGCAATCCAGCAAAAGAAATACCAAAGGGTTCACCAATGCTATTGTATCCGGCTGGAACACTAATGATGGGAAAGGCGCCTAGGGACATTACAATTGAAGCATAATGTTGTGGGAACAACACAATATCTAATTTTTTTTCTATCATTAGATCCTCCATACCCTCTTTAGAAAGTTGGGCCATTATTTGTATAGCTGCCTTCTCTGCAACACCTATCCCGTTTGTTTTTTGTGATAATAAAAAAATCATTTGTCCATATTCATCCATTTCTTCCTGCATGAATTGATAACGTAAAAAATAAAGTTAACTTATTTGCATCCATGCCAAATACATGCATGAGGATTACAATATAAATTACCTCAATTGTGTGATTGTCGTTAAAGGCTATGACATCAGCGAGAGATCGCACTGGCGAGGACACGAGATCTTTGAGGTAGGCATTGAGTGAAAGCTTGAATTCTGCCAATAACAAAATGATTTCACCATTTGCAGTATCATTTTCCATGATTTCTATGTTCCTCATTTTAAGATTGTCCACCAAAATAGCCCCTTTTAATCTGTCACATAATATCATAAAATTTACTTCGATTTTCAATTTAAATTTCTTAACTTTTTCACACATAGTCACTCCACCTTCCACTATTTCATTTAATAACACAATTCCTACTCAAATTCATTAAAAAGATGATTTTTTTAATGATCTATTGTTAATGGCAACAGAAGTTAATCACCTCATGGTTCGAAAATGTGCATCAAATGTATCAGCCTCCACGGATCCCACCGGGTATCCATCAAAGTAGGGATGCCGCAAAATCCCAATCCTCTTCCCCTTCAACCCATCCTCTTTCAAACACTCCCGGAATCCGCCCTTCGGAATAAACCTCTCCGCAGCCTTCGTCGCCTCAGCATCCAGCGGATCGAATCCCACGATCACATCCAAAAGCGCCACCGCATCTGCCACCGTCCGCCCCATCGGCCCAATGGTTTGCAGGCTCGGAGAAATGGGCACCATTCCCGATCGGCCCGTCAGCCCAACGGTAGGCTTGATGCCCACGATCGAGTTTACGACTGCAGGGCACGTGATGGCGCCGACCAAATCCGTTGCGAGCGAAACGGCCGCCAGATTTGCGGCCACCGCTATGGCGCAACCGCTGCTGGTTCCGCACGGACTGGTTGTCTTGGAATAAGGATTTCGGCCCTGGCCCCCACGTGGGCTCCACCCTTGGGGAGAATGCGGTGATCGGAAATTGTCCCACTCGCTCATGCTTGCTTTGCCGAGAATTACGGCGCCGGCGATTCGGAGGCGGCGGATGACGCCGGCGTCTCGGGGCACGACGGAGCCGAGGAGGGCGAAGGATCCGGAGGTGGTGTTGAGTTTGTCGCGGGTGTTGATGTTGTCTTTGACGAGGACGGGGATGCCGTGGAGAGGGCTGAGATGGGTGTAGGGGTTGCGCTGAAGGTCGGATTTAGCGGCGTCGTGGAGGGCATCTGGGTTGATTTCAATGACGGCATTGAGGTGGGGATTGTGAGTGTTTATTTGGTCTAGGTAGTACTGAACCAGCTGATAGGAAGTGAGTCGGCCGGCTTTGAAGGCGGCTTGGATGTCGGAGATGGTGGCCTCTTCGAACCGGAATGAAGCCTTTACCAGGAAACTACTAGAATGCAGAAAAGAAAAAAAAATATATTTTTAAATAAACGATTTTGCATTTGACCATCAAATATGCAAAAATGGAAGTTTTGGGTGGTCTAGTGGTACTGATATAGGATGAAAGTGGAGAGCTAACCTGGTCTCCATCCTTCTTCGCCATGAATGTTTACAGACAGCTAAAGTTAGAAGCATAAGAAGGAAAACATTAATGGCGGACGCCATGGATGCAATCTTAGGCTTCCTCTGAGAACACTGCCAACTTTGTTTTGGCGCCTTTTATAAGACAAATAAAGCTTAAAAAGAGGGGAAAGAAAACACAGTTTTTGTTAATGTCTCTTTAATTGATTAGAGAATTGTTCAATGGAGCTTGATGTCTTTGAGGTGGACAGTTAATCAATAACTAAAGATTGGCATTTATTATGTGTGGATTTGGTAATATTTGGTGGTATTGTACCAAAAAATATCACTAATCAGCATGTATGGATTCCGCTGTCTCGATGCAACTTTGATTTACATTAAATAGAATTTATCAAATTAGATGGATTTTTTCTTTGTTCTCAAACTATCGAGGTATATAGACATGCAAGTCTTCCTTGAAATAAGGTGAACCATGTGAAGTTTAAATGCTTGTGAATTTTATGGTATGTATGTGCAGAAATGGAAGGAATAATTATGTATTTAGAGAGTCTGAGCTTTTGTACTCAGAAATGAATGAGAGAGATCGGATCCCCCTCTTCGGCTGGAGGTCATCTCTTTTCAGAAGGCTTGAGATGGCTTCTCCCCACCCCATTAGTGGCTTCTCCATATCTTCTCCGGCCCATGACTGTCATTTATGAGGGCATAGTATTTAAATTTTTCATTTTTATTTTTATTTTTAGATTTTGTTCTTGTTCTTTTGTTGAGGGAAATGATGATGAACCATTAATTGACCTTTTAACTAAGAGTGGAATTTTTCCCTATACTCAAACTATCAAGGATAGCTTGGTGGGAGTCTTCTCAGGGTTGCCGTTAAATAAAATGAATCATGTGAAGTTTATATATGTAAGAATTGGGTGGTATGTAAATCCTCCATTTTCATTTTATTTTTAATTTCTGTTGCTTGGTCTTTGTTGAGGGAATCGATAAAGAGTCATTGATTGATCTTGTGCTAAAGTTGAAATTTTTTCTTATAATGAAACTATCAAGGATGGCTCTATGGACATGAAAGCTTGCTATTAAATGACATTGAATCATGTGAAGTTCAAGTATTGAAGAATTCAGTGGTATGTATGCAAACCTTCGCTTATTATTATTTTTAGATTTCATTTCTTTTTCTTCAATGAGTGAAGCGAGCATGAATCATTGATTTATCTTGAAATAAAGTTGGATTTTTTTCCGGGTACTGAAACTATTGAGGATGGCTTGGGCGGAGGCTTCCCAAGCAAACCATACATAAATGCAAGGATGCTATTAAATAAAGTGAACCATGTTAAAGTTTAGGTGTTGGATATATATTTATATATATATATATATATATATATGAATTGAGTGGTGTATTGACAATGACGATGACAAATCAGGGATTGATCTTGAAATAAAGATAGAATTTTTCCTTCTACTATAACTATTGGAGGGTTCTCAGGCAGCCTGTATAGAAATGCAAGGTTCTTTTCAAATAAGGTGAGCCATGTGAAGTTTAAATACATAAGAATTCAGTGGTATGTATGTAAAATGTCCCTTTTTATTTTTTTAGATTCCATTTCTTGTTCTTTCTGGGTAGCAATTATGAATCTTTGATTGGTGGGCCATATGATTTATTTGTGTCCCACTTGACCCAACATCTCTTTGCTGTGAGCATGGTGAACCACTACGTACATTATCCCAGGAAGTGTCATATGTATGCAGTGTATCAGATTCTGAAATACCTAAAGGGTGTACTTGGAAATGAGTTGATTTTCAGGAAGAATGAGCATGTAGACACGGAGGGCTTTTGTGACGCTTACTTGGCGAGTTAGGTTGATTACATGAGATCCATCTTAGGATTCTGCATGTCTCTAGTGGGTAACTTGGTCTCTTGGAACTGAAAGTATTGCTGGTGAAGTGGTTATGTTCTCCAAGAACACTATTGATAGACATGGAACCAGAGAAAGGTCAGACATGCATGATTTGGTTCTTCTCCGTAAAGCAAGTGAATCCAATTTGAGCCTAATTAGTTATAAGAATTGACTGATATATATGTAAAATTGTAACTTAGGCGTTGGAGATTTATATATATATATATATATATATATGAATTGAGTGGTGTATGTTGGTTCCAATTTAATGGATCACTAAAGGACAAATCGAAAAATGAGATTGGACTTTTGGGAATTCTCTTTTTATTATTTTTGAAGGAGTGGAAAGATACAAGTCTGAGTGTTTTACAATGCAACACAACACCCAATTTATACTAACTAAGACATACCGAGACAAAAAAAGAAACGTACACAATAAAAGCAAGAGAATTAAGTGTCATCAATTCGCGCCTATTTGAATTGATTACACATATTTGAATTTTGAATTTGAATTTAAGATTCAAATTCAAAATTAATGCTATTGTCATATCTCCTATATTTATTCCACTAATCAACTCATGCCTATTATGAACCCACTAATTGTGTAATCAATTCATATTACCAATTCAAGATTAGTCTCACAATCTCCCCCGTAAGCTTGATTTGGTTCGAAGTTGTTTACGCCAAGTAGCTCTCGCATTTTTGCAAATTTAACTCTTGCTAGAGCCTTGGTGAGAATATCCGCACGTTGCTCTCCAGTGCTTACAAATTCCACGACGATCTGTCGATTCTCGACACACTCGCGAATAAAGTGGAATGGAGTGTCGATGTGCTTGCTGCGTCCATGAAACACCGGGCTCTTTATCAATGCTATTGCAGATTTGTTGTCGACGTAGAGAGTTACTGGTTTTGGCTCGTTTCCAGTCACCTCGCTCAACAAACTTCTCAGCCACAATGCTTGGCATGTGCCGCAGTGGCTGCCATGAACTCTGCCTCACAGAATGATAGAGCAACGGTTTGCTGCTTCTGAGATTGCCAAGTGATTAGATTCCCGTTGAGATAAAATACCATCCCTCCAGTGTTTTTCCTGTCATCTATATCACCGGCTAGATCACTGTCAGTAAAACCGACGAGTTCTTCAGCTCCTTGTCCTCTTTTGTATTGAATCCCGTAGCTCATTGTTCCCTTAATGTAACGAAGAATATGTTTCACCGCCTGCTGGTGTAAAGTGGTAGG